CACAAATCAGAGTTCCATTTTCACTTCTGTTATAAGAAATAATCACTAAGCAAGTAATACTCAACAGTAGACCCTGAAAGCAACAGTAAACACCAATGCAAAGATTTCATGGGTATCTGCAGGGCACACTGACCAGACAGTGACTGTGCCATGTAAGAATTCCTAGTAGGCGACATGGGGAGCAGTTTCATTGTTAAGAGAGAACCTTCAAAACTCTGAACAGCAAATGTCAAAATTTCAGGAGTCAATTTATGAAAGACAAGGAAAACTAAGTTACAACAATCAAATGCAATAAAGGCCATAGATGAGTTTCTAAAAAAGAGCTGGTGTGGAGAAGAGAACATATTAGGACAACAGAGAAAATGTGACTCCAGATCATGTACCAGACAGTGCTGTACCACGGTTAAAGGCCATGAGTGCTGTATTACGTTTTTGTTCTTGAAAGATACACACTCAATATTGAGATTCCTTAAAAGTTAAGGAAAAAAATAAAAGAATGTGTGTATGTGTGTAAAGGAGTAGGGAGAGAGCATGCAAATGTAGCAAGATATTGACAACTGGGAATCTAGATAAAGGTGCTCACCGAGCTATTCTTTAAACTCTTCTACACATGAATTTTTACAAAATGAAATCTTTAATAAGAAACCATGAAGAGCTGCTTCATGATCCAAGGTACTGACTCAAGATTGACTGGACATCTCCCCCCACCCCAGTTCAAAGACAAAACCACAGAAGAAAACCATGATAATCTTTTTTAAAAACCTGTAATGTGCAAATAATAAAAGAGATGTCTTTACAAAGAATAATATCAAAAAGTGTTCTGACTCTCTAAGGCTATTTCCTGACAGGCTAAGACACAAACCTGAGGCTTTTTTTTTTTCTTTTTTAGTACCGGGGATCAAACTCGGGACCTTTTGCTTGAAAGGCAGGCAGCGGAACCACTGAGCTACATCCCCGGCCCTAACCTGAAGCTTTTATTTTGTTTTAAACCATGTTCAAGAGAAGAGGGCTGAGAACTAACATTTTTGAGAAACCAGACACTCTGGTGTGGGATTTACTGAAACTAACTTAACCCTGTTAAGATCTGAAACCGAAAAAAGAATTTTTTTAATTCAATAAACAGCTTTATATACATGTATTCTCCGTATTTTTAAAGAAGGGATTATGAAGACTTGAAATTGGTTTAAATAAAAAAGACAAGGGGACTGGGGATTTAGCTCAGTGGCACCGTGCCTACCTTGCAAGCGCAAGGTCCTGAGTTCAATCCCTGGTACCAAAAAATAAATACATAAATAAAGTATGAAGCACTGTAGGAAGACACCAAAGATGTATCACAGCTACATTTCTGAAGATACCTAACAGTTATTCTTCATGTTTTACAGAACTTACCCAACCTAAGCTATAAAGCAGGGCCCTATTATTCTGATACCACTCTTCACTCATTTCCATTCATCACTCCATCATAGATAGCCCTTTCACCACATATAAAGTAGAAAATTAGCTTATGAAATTCTGAGACCCCTGAAGACTCTTAAGATTCTAGAGATTCTTGGGCCAGGGATTTAGCTCAGTGGTTCCCGCTGTCTGCCTCGCAAGCACAAGGTCCTGAGTTCAATCCTTGACACTTGAAAAAAAAAAAAAAAGCGATTCTGCTTGGAAATACTGAGCCTTTTACTTACAGAAATAATAACTGACAAGTTTATGGGCAGGCAATAAAAACATATAAAGAAGGAGAATTTAGTACAAATAGTGATTTTTGTGGAAAACTGATCCTAAATAATGTATCTGTTAAATATTTTCTTATCACAAACTTTCCTCTCATCTTCATGAACTACAACAAAAGAACAGGTACTAAAAGGGGAAATGTTTTATTTATTCAGGCTTGAAAATTTTACTTTTAACAGATATGACTATCAAAAGCCAAAAACTTAAGATTTAAGAAACTCAGAATGTGAGAAATACATTACAACATATTAATTTTTCATTCAATCAAGAGTGATTAAATACTTAGCACCACACTTACTTGTTGCTGTACTATATAGAATATATATTTGTGTGATATACATACAAAGTGTGATCAAATCATGGTGAATGTTTAAGTTTTCAAAAAATTTATTGAAGTGAAATACACATTGCCATTTATTTCCCTCAAAATTCTCCTCCTCGCTTCAAACACACTTATCCTGTTGTTCTTGCCTCTTTCTGAAGCAGTTCTGGAAGTCCTCTTTCGTCCATGTCTTAGTCACGCTGTTGTGACTGCCTCAACATCTTGAATTGATTTAAAACGTTGACCTTTCATGGTCATTTTGATTTTGGGGAAGAGCCAGAAGTCACATGGTGTCAGATCCAGTGAATAAGGTGGATGAGGACACACCAAAATGTTTTCATGAGCCTGCCTTTCTGTTGAATGGCCCTTGGTAGCAGTGTTCACCGTTCTTTGGTCACACTTTATAAGGACACTCACAATCCAGAGCTGCTCAAAAAGTGGTAAGAACAACAGGGTAAGTGTGTTTGAAGTGAGAGGGAGAATTATGAGAGAGATTAATGGCAGTGTGTCTTTTACAATACATCTTATTTAAACATACCAAATTTTATTAGCCTATTTCTACTTCTGCTATAATATTAAAAATGCTTTAAGATTGATTTTTTAATTTGTCAGCAGTTATTGGCATAAATATAGCATTTATTTTTGGAAATATTACTTAAAAACAGATAAGAAGCAAATTCATACAGACTTTTGCTTCATTTTATCTGACTTATTTTCTTCCCCTAAGTTCTAGCTCATACACTAAAACTTTATAGTTTAATTCTGAAAAGAAAATACTTCTGAAATGAAAGTATCAGAAATGGTACCTTAAGAAATATTTTTTAGTTATTATGTACAAGTTTCTATATTTTGAGTAGACCATCATTTTTTATATTCAGGAAATGTTACTTTTACTACTAATTCTCCTTTTTAGTCACTAAAATTAAGAGAGTTGTAGAATTTCCTCTCCAGGATGTCTTAAGACTGTTTCTATATTTTTCTTAGCCAGAAAAAAATTTAGATAAACTTTTAGAAGAAGTAAAATAAGAAAACCAAAATAAATTATAAACATGCAGATGATTAAACAGATCCCATATTTTTTATTATGCCACTGTTATTTTTATCTAAGGCACTAAATATCAGCCCAAAAGACTGAAAATGTATATTAAACACTTAGCACCATGCCCAGCCCATCAGAGGTACTTCATAAATTAGTTTGCTTTTCCTTCCAACAATGACAAGAATCACTGCCATAACAGTTTCTAGCATGTTATATTATTGGGAGGACAATTTTACCCCTTTACAGCTTATTGTTCTATAAGATATAACTCCTGAACTTGATTATCACCTTATTTATACCAAAATGACTCCTGCTGTTTTCACTGATTTTCTAATTGCTATTCTAGAAATAAATGAAAGATCTGATTTATTTATTTATTTACTTGCTTATTTCTGGCATCTCATCCTCTCAGAAGGCCAAATCTTTCTGAGATACAATGGACACACATATGGGAAGGCTGTGTAAAGTCATAATGCTTCAAAACTAACATATATACTAGAGCGGCTAATCCATCAACTAATGATAAATATACTGTAGAACAAATACTCATGGAATTTACACATAAAGGTCACAAGTCATGCACTCTCAGGTAGAAAAGGAGATTTTTTATTCCAAAACTCTCAGCTACGTTTCTATTGAAACATTTTCACATCATGAAGCCAAGATACCCAATACTCCATTTTCTGTCCTTGTTTTCATCACTGGTCATAAAAGTTGTACTTGAAAGCTCTACTTTTGATAAAATTTGGTGCTTTACTGACATAAACATAACCTCATTCCAGAATAGGTAATCTACATTTTGTTCTCATCATTTAAAATAAATATGCTCTGAGATTATAAAAAGCTCTATATCACCCCAAAATAGCACATTTTCCTAATGACTGTCATTACAAAACTGGTCAATGTATAGCAAGAGTAAATTATACCATTAACTGCTGACAAATTTTTTTTTTAATTCCACCTTAAAGTATTTTTAGTACTATAGCAGAGGTAAAAATAAGGTAATTTTTTTGTTTGGTTGGTTGGTACCGAGGATCGAACTCGGGTCCTTATGCTTGCAAGGCAGGTGGCGGAACCACTGAGCTAAATCCCTGGCCTGGAAATAAGGTAATTTTATGAAATAAATTAGTCTTTTGTAGTATCTAAATTCCAAAGATGTTCATCTTGTGGTTTCAACAAAATCAATCTCTTTAGAGTAACTGTCTCAGGCCAAAGGTAGTCACACTTCATTTGTCTTCTATCTGCAGAGCAGAAGGTATTCTACAAGGGTGAGTTTTCCAAATGACACTTTCAATGCATGCTCAAACTATAGAAAGGCTCTGTAACTGTACCCCATACTTCCCTACAGTTCAGACAGTGCAGTATTTTGAACGTAACGAAGCACTTGTTACAGAGCTCTCCCCTGCCTATACACTGGTTTACTGAGGAACAGGACAGCAAGAGCCTTAGGAGGTGTTAAATGCAAAGCAATTTGCTCCTATTCCAGGTGGCGTGACAATAGTAAGTTCTTAAATCTTCACTTTCAGTTTTCCTGCCCCTAATGAAAAACTATCATTATTTTTAGGTTTCCTTCAGTCATCGGATAAATCACTGCTTCTAAATTGGTCAGTAAATCAGATAACCATGCAAGCAGTAATTTTACTAAAAGCAAGAATAAATACACTAGAGAAAGTCTCCAATTAAAAAGGTACATCAGCTTAGGCTACAGTGTGATGTAAATTCAGTCACTCAGGAGGCATTTTCACTTATTTCCTAACTCATGATTATATCAAATCGCTGTGTCCCAGGAAAACAATGAACAAGTTATTACTCTCAGCAGTAAATCTCTTTGTACCTTCTTGCCCAATAATACTGCCAATTTTTAAACCTTACTAAGTTCACCAATACTAAGCAAAACCTAACAGTCAGACTTACCTGAGGCACGCCTTGTGAATCTGTTTATTACAGGAGCTAAAAGAAAAAAAGCATAATAATATAATTAGATAAAAAATTTAATTTTTCCAAAATCCTGAAAAGGCTCAAATTAGTAAGTAATCCCATAATTTAAACACAGAAAAATACAAATGAATTAATAATAGAATAGTAAATAAAATATACAAAAATAAGTATTTAAATTCACTAATAAAAATATAAATTAAAATCAGTATTTCACCTATTAAATTAGTTTTCCCCAAAACACTTGAAATAAAAATCCTTGGTTACAAATACTTGTCCTACTTAACGGGGACAATGTACATTTATATAATACCTTCAGAAAACAAGTTGGCAATTATACCTAGTGCTATAAGAGGTCTGCATCCTTTAAATGAGTAATTATACTTTAAAAGATTTATCCTAGGCAAGCGCTACTACAGAAGAAAAAAAGCAATCTATCAACAGATAGATTGGCAGCATTTTAAAATGAAAAAAATAGGAAACAAAGCTAAAAATGTTTATGTATACTGACTTTATTTTTAAGTAAAGGATAGCAAGTATATCCTTGAATATTTGTGGTTTTGACAATTTCCATCCAAACCATGTCCCTGACATGCATATGTGTACTCTGAGAGCTTCAGTGCTGGGCCGGTGCATACATCACTGAGCTGGCAAGCCTGCCTCCTGCCCACAGCCTGACTCAACTCAGCTCAGCTTCTTGGAACGCTGACACAGTTATCTCAAGAAGAGAAAAATTTATTTTTTTATTTTACTGCCTGCAAGTAAGTAAATCTATGGCTGATATTATATAAGAAAGAACAGCATGTACTACACTGTAGATTTTGATGGCAGAATGTCAGGAATCTACTATAATACTTTTTAATACTTTAAAAATAGTAATTAGGAAAGTTGTTTATATTACGGAAATGCTTAGGTCAAGTAAAAAGACAAAATTTTTCTCAGCATTATTTTACACTGTATAAAGAACTTGTATCCATAGGAACAAGGACTAGAAGAAAACTGTCAGATATTTTACATTAATCCTTACAACCATGCTATAAATATCAGCCCCTGCATATTACTGATGAGGAAATTTTACAGTAAGGCATAGGTAGATAAATTTGCTTTAGATCACACAGCAACCCTGTGCCAAGGTTGGAGAATCTGAACCTAGGAGTACTGTACCTAGCATTAAAACCCAGCCTGAGAGAGAGCACAAAGTGAAAATGCTGATTCCGGAAATCACACAATAGGAGGTGAATGTTTTCTTCCACATTGATCTTTACTGTCATTAAAAAATTAACTCTGTGAAATAATTCACAAATCCAATTATTAAGCTAGTATAGTTTATAACAAAATTATACACTTTAAACTGATCCAGAGATAAAATTATTTATATGCCAAAATAATTTAGCCATGTATATGCACAGTCAAAATGTACTAACACAAAAACATTCAGTAGGTAAACTGTCCGGGTTTACCATACATATGAAAAGATTTATCTGTTTTCTTGGATACTTTTAGAGCCTAGTCTAAAGAGAACCTCCCTACCAAGTTACAAGGACAGAGACTGCAGACAAAGTTCAGAGAAATTCAACCACAGGAATGCAGAACAGAAAGAGCAAGCAGATAAGGGCAAGGAGAAGGTTAAAACTATCTCAGCCTTGGGGCAAAAAGAGCAGATAGTCCCTGCACTCCTGCCTTGCCAACCTCTCCCCAGAGAAAGAAACCACAGGCCAATAAGCTTCGGGCTTGACATGTCAGGAAGTGTCTGTTCTCCCAGGTTGTCAAGTTTCTGCATCTTTCTGAAGTGTTTAAGGCGGAGGATTTCCCACACAATCAGTCCTGCCATCTAGAACTAACTCCCTCCTTACCTTTCTTCCCCTCTTTGCTGGAGATAGACAGATTCCTGGGCTTCTCTCCTGCTACACAAGTGATCTATCACTAAGGCACATCCCCGCCCTCTAGAACATGATCTCTGAGGTTGTGAGAATAATTCTGTCACCGAGGACTCCTTGGCGCTTGGCAAGCAAACTCGAGAACAATCCCGCATAAGAAAGAGCTGTCCTGCACCCCACCTTTGTCCTGCACCCCACCTTTGTCCTGCACTGCACTCAGATACCCATGGGCCTCTGTGTTGGCAAAAAGTCCATTTATGCCCATCTGAGCCTAGATCCTAACTGCTTTGTCCATACGCAGCTTTATACATATAGTTTTTATATCAAAATTTCCCCAATACAACCAACATAAATCAGAGGAATTGTGTTTGCTTCTTTTTGTATTTTGTTTTATCTAGAATTATGCTAATATATGTCCACAGTTTCAAAAAGCATGTCAAGAGGCCGGGGATTTAGTTCAGTGGTTGTGCCGCCTGCCTTTCAAGTGCAAGGTCCCGAGTTCGATCTCCGGTACCAAAAAAAAAAAAAAGCATGCTCTTGCTGCAAAGCCATCTGTGGCACTTGAATTTCCAGTTCAACACATTTGACCAGGCCCCACTGGCAGCTTTCATATTCTAGTGCATCTACATACGGAGGAGGGAGAATCTAAATGCATCACTTTTTTCTGAGACAAGGCTTCCCGGCTGGCCTTGAACTCACTATGTAACCCAGGCTAGCCTCAAATGCAGTGACCCTTCTGCCTGAGTACTGGGCACTGAGATTACAGGCCCAGATTGCATCCTGTCTTTTTTTCTTTTTTTTTTCTGTACCAGGGATCAAACTTGGGACCTTGCGCTTGCAAGGCAGGTGGCAGAACCACTGAGCTAAATCCCCAGCCCTTTTTTTTTTGTTTTGAGACAGGGTCTTGCTGTATAGTTCAGGCTGGCCTCCAACTCTAGGAGATCCTCCTTCCTCCACCTCCCGAGTGCTGGGATTACAGGCGCACTGTATCCACACCCAGCTGCCTCATATCTTGAGTATGGAAGTATAATCCTACTGAAATATACTTTACTTACTGTACATCGCTTTCCTTTCATTTTCCTTAGTCTTTTTTCTAGATACCACTGTACCAGTCAGTCTCTAAACTGTGGGCAGACAGGTCATACGACAATGATTTTCATTTCCTGACAGTAACTGGGGCCACGGATCAGACAGTTAAGAAGACAGGTGCAACAAAAGAGGCCCTGATTTTATTTTATTTCTAATTCTACATTTAATTTCTATTATTTTATTTCTAATACTGGCTCTGATTTTCTTTTTATGTTTTCATAG